TTGTAGCAGGCACCTGTCATCCTAGCTACTTGGGAGGCTGAGGCAAGAAAATCGCTGGAGCCCAAGAGTTTGAGGTTGCTGTGAGCTGTGACACCACAGCGCTCTACTGAGGGTGACAAAGTGAGACTCTGTCTCAAGAAAAAAAAAAAGCAGCGTACAAAAGCGAAAGCAGTATTTTCTCATTTGTGTAACAAATAAAAGAGATATACAGGTGCCTTTCTATTCGTAAACTATCTGTGTGAGAATATCTCGTTGCCTTATACTGTGGGCTGACATTCAGGAGTGGGAGAAACACTGATTTTTTTCACTCTGCCTCCTTTTGTATCAATGTTTTACATGAACAGCTCATTTAGTTAAAAAAAGGTTTAAAGACTTTTTATAGCACTGGCTTTGCTGGATTTCTAATGTGTCTCTTGTCACTAAGCTCTGGGAGTCTCTTATATTGAAGAGAAGATAGCAGAAAGGGGAAATTAAAAGCTCATGCCTTAGGGTCTGGGAGAAGGGGAGTTAAATCTACACTTGGCCACCAGCTGGCTGTGGGACTTCAGGCAGGTATCTCTGTCTCTCTGAGACTCCACTTTTGACATCTGGAGAGGTTGACATCTTAGGGGTTGTGCAGTAAAGGATTAATCTTGCTCAGCTCCTGGCAGATAACCTCTAAGCCAGGGGTGGGAAAACTTTTCATATTGGAAGGCAGTATTAATTTAGCTGTAATCAAACAAAGCCAAATCCAAGAAACTTCAATTAGATATACTTAAAAATGTGAGTTAGGGGCAGTGCCTGTGGCTCAAAGGAGTAGGGCGCCAGCCCTATATATAGGAGCTTGCGAATTCAAACCCGACCCCGGCAAAAAAAACTGCAAAAAAGAAAAAAAAAATGTGAGTTAGTTTGCAAAAAATCTAACTACTATACACTTAATAACTTCAAAAAATGAAAACGATTTGTTAATTTTCAAGTTAACCTTTTAATGATTTTGTTGGAAACATTTGAATGTTTGGTTGCCCCTTGGTGGTCTGCAGTTTCAGTTGATCCTCTAGATGGGTATCAGTCATTTGCCACCTTGATGTCTCTTGAGTTGGGTTAGGTAGGAAAATGTAGATTTGCAGCAATAAGTGTTGAAAAGCGAGAAGGCATTTTTTTGGACATCTTGCCAAAGATGCGAGCATTCTACTGCATTTTCCCATTTTTTTTTGTTTGTTTTTTGAGACAGAGTCTCAAGCTGTCACCCTGGGTGGAGTGCCGTGGTGTCACAGCTCACAGCAACCTCCAACTACTGGGCTCAAGTGATTCTCTTGCCTCAGCCTCCAAGTAGCTAGGACTACAGGCGCCCGCCACAACGCCTGACTATTCTTTTTTTTTTTGGTTGTAGTTGTCATTATTGTTTGGCGGGCCTGAACTGGATTTGAACCCGCCAGCTCTGGTGTATATGGCCAGCGCCCTAGACACTGAGCTACAGGCACCAAGGCCATTTTTCCATATTTCAACTGGCTCTTTCTTAGCATGAAACGATGACTTTAAAATGTCATCTACTGAGACATTTCCATCTGTAGTTGTTTAGATGCCTTGGTGATATTAACTAGGTGAGGCTGAAACACTAAATGGAGTGTGATGTCACAGTTCTCAAAGTCAGTAAACCTTCCATTGTGTTCTCCAATTAATAGGTCTGTGACAGCTTCGTATTATTCAAATGATTCACATGTATCATCCTGCTCTTCAGTGACCTTTGCTAACTTGGGAAAATGTTCATCTGAAATTTCCTTTTGAAGATGTGTTTTGAGAAAGATAGCTTTTTTCAAAATGCTCGGACTTTTTGCCACTAAGTTTTGCAGACTTAGTTTTACCTTGCAGAGAAATGTTCAAGTCATTTTGATTTGACAAGATATCACACAGACATGCTGCATTCTTGGATAAATCTTCTTTCAATAATTCACATTGGTGATTCTTTTCTTTATAAAATTTAACTATCTGTTCTCTTAGAGATAACATTTTGGCTAACACCTGTCCCTCAAATAGCCAATGCACTGTAGCAGCATTGTACACATTGAATACCTCATGTTCAACTTCGGCATGTTGTAAAACTGATGATGCTGTGTTGTATTTCATGAATATAGTTAACGACACTTATACCTTGCGGCAAAGTGTCACTTAAAATAGTAGCTTTGGCTCAGCACCTGTAGCTCAAGCGGCTAAGGTGCCAGGCACATACACTAGAGCTGGGGTTCGAATCCAGCCTGGGCTGCCAAACAACAACAACAACCACAACCAAAAAATAGCTGGGCGTTGTGGCGGGCGCCCGTAGTCCCGGCTACTTGGGAGGCTGAGGCAGGAGAATCGCTTGAGCTCAGGAGCTGGAGGTTGCTGTGAGTTGTGACCCCATGGCACTCTACCTAGGGCAATAGCTTGAGGCTCTGTCTCAAAAATAAATAAATAAATAAAAATAAAAATCTATGCAATAAACCTTTCATGTTTTTCTATCATGGAAGGTGCCCCATTTGTAGACATTCACTAAATTTACCAAATTCAGTCCAACTTCCTAACATTGATCTTGAAAGCTGTTGAAGATATCTATTCCCTATATGCTGTTCCCAAGAGTGCCTAAAGTGAGTAACTCTCTGTAGCAAAGAAAATCTTCTGTTATGACCCAAATGAAGTATAAAACCTGTGCTGAGTCAGTAGTATCGGTCAATCCATCCAAAGAGATTGAATAATACCTATTTTCCTTTTGAAGTATTACCTGAGGTTGTTCTGCTAAGTTGCAGGCTAAACCATGCCACAAATCAGTCTGGGTTTGGTTCTCCTTGAAAGAGGCAGTTGTTTGCACTTTGAAACGTTATCAGGGCCTAAGCATCCTACAACTTGATAGCACACTCCTTTCATAATTTTTACATCACTGAATGGCTTTTCTTTTTTCCTCAGTATACTTTATAAATTGCTTTGATGGCATTATTTCCAGGTCATATTGCTGTTTGAAAGACTTGTCTTTGCATTTCATTTTTTTATTTCTGTAATACAAACTTCAGGGTCTCACCCTCTAATTAAAAACATCTGAGGGTCTTGTGAGTGCAGTAATGCTGGTCAGCGCTGAATTTCTTTAATGTTGATATTGCAGGATCACAAAGCAAGTGAGTGATCTTATTCTTAGTGAAGCAAGATAATAGTACAATTCCCAGTCTTCAGGAAAAGATCTGGTGTCTTCCTTCAGGGTTCTTCTCTTGGACTTCTTGAGAAGACGGGCTGTTAAGCAGACAGAATTAAAGAATACTGCTGAGCTGTGCAACTATTCAAAAATTCCACTTCAAACAGAAACACGATGCACTGTTGTCAGAAGCTAACGACAGACTGGCAAACTCAACCCTCATAAACTCCTGCCAACCAGCATTGTGCAGTAGTGGCACCAGTCAGGTGGGGGAAGTTAGAACTAAATTATGAGTGTAGCAGCTGTCAATTTAGCCCTTATGGCTTACTAATGTTCCAATTATGGCTTACTAATGTTCTAATTGTGCCCATCAATCCGGGAGAATTATTTCCTTGAAATTTATTTCATTCTTTGGGGTATTCATTTTTATAATAAGATAAAACTATACAAGATGAATTAAGGCTCAGTGCCTGTAGCACAGTGGCTATGGTGCCAGCCACATACACCAAGGTTGGCAGGTTCAAACTCGCCCGGGGCCAGCAAAAACAACAATGAAAACTGCAACAAAAATTAGCCAGGCATTGTGGCGGGCTTCTGTAGTCCCAGCTACTTGGGAGGCTGAGGCAAGAGAGTTGCTTAAGCCCAGGAGTTTGATGTTGCTGTGAGCTGTGAAGCCCTGACACTCTACCAAGGGCAACATAGTGAGACTCTGCCTCAAAAAAAAAAAAAAAAGAAAGAAAGAAAGAAGAAAAAAGAAAACAAGACACAGAAGCCCCCCAAGGCGTCTACCCAGATACAGCTTCCACCCCCCAGGGGGAACCCCCTCTCTGACTGCTGCCATAACTATTACCTTGCTTTTCTGATGTTTATGTTAATAGTTCCACCACCCACATATGTATCCCCAATATTTTATTTTAGTCTCATTTTCCCTGCTTTCGTATTTATTAAACTGAATAATGCAGCTTGTCCTGTTTGGCCTCTGGCTTCTTTCACTCGTATCATGGGGGTTAGCCACATGGTTTATGTATTAAGTTCATTCACTCTTTTTCTTTACTCTATAGTATAAACATACCACAACGTATTTACCCATTCTCCTGTTGATGTTGAAATTTGGGTGGTTCCCTTTTGTGATCATTATAAGCAGTGCTCTTCTGAACATCCTTTCCTATACAAGTTTCCTAAAGCTCATGTTCAAGGTTTCTGGGATACGTGCTCAGGGTGGAGCAGCTGGGTTATAGGTAACATGTTTTTTTTTGAGACAGAGTATCACTCTATTGCCCTGGGTAGAGTGTCCTGGTGTCATAGTTCACAGCAACCTCAAACTCTTGGGCTCAAGTGATTCTCCTGCCTCACTCTCCCAAGTAGCTGGGACTACAGGTGCCCACAATGATGCCCAGCTAATTTTTCTATTTTTAGTGGAGATGGGGGTCTTACTTTTACTGAGGCTGGTCTTAAAGTCCTGAGCTCAAGCAATCCACCCACCTCAGCCTCCCAGAACGCTAGGATTACAGGTGTGCACCACCACACCTGACCTGATAATACGCATTTTCACATTTATTCAATAACACTACACTGTTTCCAATTTTAAGATGAAGCAATTGGGTAACTTGCGTGAGATCCCAAAGCCAAATTGCCTGTCCCCAGAGATCCTTGCACCGAGTCCAGACTCTCATCTGGCTCATCTGGCGCATGGTGTGCACTTAGTTAGAATGAGCTGCTATGGTGAAGATTGTTGGGGTCTGTCACTGGGGGGGCTCCTCTGTTACCGTTATTCTGAACTCTGTCCTTATCAGTTAATCATTAACTGTCCCTCTAAGGAGCCTATGATCCTAAAGATTTGTCTGGTTAATCAGTCACTAGCCCCCCAGCTAAGCAAGGGGCAGCTGGTGAACCTGCTGCCTCCAAAACCCCTTCCCCTGGTGTAGAGGCAGAGGGGAACTCGTGATGCTCCGGACCTGTCGTGTGTTGTATTCCCAAGGTGGCCCCTCTGCAGGCAGCTGGCAGCCCCTGAACTTTGATGGTGGAGCCTTCCATCTCAAGGGCACGGGAGAACTGACACGGGCTTTGCTGGTGCTACGGCTGTGTGCCTGGCCCCCTCTGGTCACCCACGGGCTGGCGGTAAGCAGTGACTCTGAGGACTGGCCTGGAGACTCCCTATGGCGCAGCTCTGAGCCTTCACTCCCTTGTCATCCAGCTCCAGGCCTGGTCTCGGCGACTCCTGGGCTCCAGGATCTCAGGGGTACTTCTCCGAGCATCCTTGTATGGGCAGTTTGTGGCTGGTGAGACAGCAGAGGAGGTGAGAAGCTGTGTTCAGCAGCTCAAGACCCTAGGCCTCGGGCCGCTGTTGGCAGTGCCCACAGAGGAGGAGCCGGACTCAGCTGCCAAGACTAGGTAAGTAGAGGGAGAGGGCCCAGAAGGGCAGGGAGGATGGCAAGACGGGGCTTTGCAGGTTCCAGGTCCTCACAACTGCTGGCTGGGCAGTGAGGCCTGGTACGAGGGGAACCTCAGTGCTATGTTGCGGTGTGTGGACCTGTCACGGGGCCTCCTGGACACCCCTGGCCCTTCTGGGAACAACCTTATGCAGCTGAAGATGACAGCGCTGGCCAGCACTCGGCTCTGTGTAAGGGACAGGCAAGACTGGAGTGGGGGGAGGGCTCACTGCCCACCAGGGTCCCCTCACCACCCCACCTACCACCTCATTTCAGAAGGAGCTAACTTCATGGGTCAGAAGGCCAGGGGCCTCCTTGGAGCTAAGCCCTGAGAGGCTAGCAGAAGCCATGGACTCTGGGCAGGTAAGGACTTCAAGTGTGGGGTGTGGGTCCCCTGGACTTGGAGGTAACAGGCATCTGTAAACAGAATGCTCAAAGTATTTAACTTCCACTAACTTCTCAGGCCTAGAACAATCAGAATAAATGTGGCTGTAGCTCAGGAGCATGGCTGAAATCAATGGAATAGAGGTCATCTGGGGGCTTGAGGGGAGGTGCTGGGCGGCTCTCAGAGGAGGGCTTGGGATAGTAGCTATTTATCAACCAGAAGAAAGTGTCTCAATATGTAATCAATCAACACGGCCAATGTGCGCTGGCAGGATGTAAGTTCTGATTAGACCGATGGAATTTTAGTTTATTCATTCGTTCCTTTTAATTTTCATTCTCCTATTTCTATCCTCCCCACCCTCGGTAACTTCTACTCCATCTTGTATAGTGTGTATCTTTCTGTTACTGGTGGTTTTGTTTTGCTAAGTTTTGGGGGGTATGTTTTCTTTTTCCCCTCACCCTCCCTCACACACACACTCAGACTCACTCTCTCATACACTCAAACCTGGGGGCGTGTGTTTTCCCCAACATTTTATGAAAAAATTTTAAACATAAGGAGAAGGCAAAAGAATTGCATGGCGAATACCCATATGCCTGCCCCCTTTAACATCTAATAGTGTTTTCTTTAAATTATAGCCACCCTTCTATCTATCCCTCTATCCATCCATCCATCAATCCATCTTAATTTTTGAGCATTTCAAAGCGGCAAACATGAGTACACTTTCCCCCTAAACGCTTCAGGATGTGAATTATTAATTAGAGCTCAATAATTTTTTACAGCGCTTTTTTAAAAGTAAAACTTAAATACAACTATAAATGGTTTGCAAATGTGTACCTCTTTGTAAACATTGCAAAATACACTCACCTGAGCAATTGAAATCCCTGTCAAGACAAAGAACATTTCCCTCACGCCCTTCTCCATCAATCAGGGGCATGATTTCAAGGCACACAGCAGCGTTATGTCAGCTCTCCCATTCACTTTCTCACTTTCCCCACTGAGTACTCTGATTTTAAGACCTATCCACGTGTCTGTGTTCATCTAATCCATTGCCTCGATTCGTCTGCTTCTAGAGGTGTCACTTACCACTCTGGGGATGGACACCTGGATGGCCTCTGAGTCTCCACTACCCCAAATGATGCTATGGTGGACATGCTGATGTTTCTTTTTCTAATCTTCTTTTTTTTTTTTTTTTGAGACAGAGCCTCAAGCTATCCCCCTAGGTAGAGTGCCGTGGCATAGCTCACAGCAACCTCCAACTCCTGGGCTCAATTGAGTCTCCTGCCTCTGCCTCCCAAGTTGCTGGGACCACAGGCGCCCACCACAACGCCTGGCTATTTTTTTTCGGTTGCAGCCATCATCGTTGCCTGGCGGGCTGGGCTGGATTCGAACCCGCCACCCTAGGTGCATGTGGTTGGCGCCCTAGCCACTTGAGCCACAGGTGCCGAGCCTCTTTTTCTAATCTTGATATTTATATGTTTTTACTTTTATTTTTGTTTATTTTTGCTTTGTTTTGGTTTTTGTTTCTTTTTGTCACCCTCCGTAGAGTGCCATGACATCATCATAGCTCACAGCAACCTCAAACTCTTGGGCTTGAACAAACCTTCTGCCTCAGCCTCCCCCAGTGGTTGGGTCTACGGGCGCCCGCCACCATGCCCAGCTAGTTTTTCTATTTTTAGTAGAGACAGGTTCTCACTCTTGCTCAGTCTGGTCTCGAACTCCTGAGCTCAGGTGATCCACCTGTCACAGCCTCTGAGAGTGCTGGGGTTACAGGTGTGAGCCACCGTGCCCAGCCTTGATTTTTTTGTTTTCTTTTGAGACAGTCTTAGGCTGTCACCCTGGTTAGAGTGCTGTGTTGTCACAGCTCACGGCAACCTCAAACTCTTGGGCTCCAGCAATTCTCTTGCCTCAGCCTCCCAAGTAACCGGGACTACAGGAGCCTACACCTGGCTATTTTTTTGGTTGTAGTTGTGGTTGTTATTTGGCAGGCCCGGGCTGGATTTGAACCTGCCAGCTCCAGTGTATATGGCTGGCGCCCTAGCCGCTTGAGCTATAGATGCCAAGCCCAGCCTTGATTTTTTTTATTTGTAATTTAAAAAATGTATCAGAGAACACACAGAAGCAGCATTTAGCAGGCCAGAAAATCAGCTTCGGATTTTCTCATAAAGAGTTTCACCTCTTTCTGAGTGCTAGTTTACTCACGTGGAGACAGTGATAGCAACTTCTCAGCAGTTTTCAAGATTAAAGCAGATGAGTTTGGAAGGCTCCTGCCAGGTGGGCATCTGGCTTTGCACAAAACAGCGGGGCACCCTTGATGCTTCTTCATTTGCTTCCCATGGCCTCCCCAGTACCTTTGTACCTGGCTTTTGGGTCTGGAGGTGGGGAAGTACTCGGTATTTCCAAAGGGTGGCAGGGAAGCCAGTGTGGCTGCAGGGCAAAGAGCAAGGAGAGAGTGGGAGCAGAGGAGCCACAAGGGGCCAGACCAGGTGGGCCTTGAGGGCCACAGTGAGGACTTGGGCATTTGATGACGAAACTGAGGTCCTAGGAGCCTAGTTCCAGGTAACGCATATGGCACTTTGTAAGAGCTAGCTGTGCTCTAAGCACTTTCTGTATGTTAATTCTGAGTCACTTCTCTCCAAGCCTCCATCTCCTCCCTGGAAAACGGGGCTTTGAAAACACTTGTCTACTAAGATCATTGTGAAAATTAAAATAGTATATGAAGGGCTCGGCCTGGTAGCTACCCCCTGGAACCCCAGCAATTTGGGAGGCTGAAGCAAGAGGATCTCTTGAGACCAGGAGTTTGAGACCAGCCTAGGAACATAGCAAGACTCAGTTCTTTACAAAAACGTTTTTTTTAAATTGGCTGGGTGGGCTCAGCGCTCATAGCAAAGTGTTTATGGCGCCAGCCACATACACCAAGGCTGGCAGATTCGAACCTGGTTGGGCCAGCTAAACAACATTGACAACTGCAACAAAAAATAGCTGGGTGTTGTGGCAGGTGCCTGTAGTTCCAGCTACTTGAGAGGCTGAGGCAAGAGAATCGGTTAAGCCCAAGAGTTTGAAGTCGCTGTGAGCTGTGATGCTATAGCACTCTACTGAGGGCAACATAGTGAGTCTCTATCTCTAGAAAAAGAAAAAGAAAACAATTGGCTGGGTGTGATAGCATGTGCCCATAGTCCCAGCTACTTTAGGGAGTATCTCTTGAGCTCAGGAGTTGAGGTTGCTTGCTGTGCATGGTGGCTAATGCTTGTAATCCTAGCACTCTGGGAGGCCGAGGCAGGCAGATGGCCTGAGATCAGGAGTTTGAGACCCGCCTGATCAAGAACGAGACCTCAGTCTCTACTAAAAATGGGAAAAAAAACCCCCAAAAAAACACTATCTGGGCATGGTGGTGGGCACTATAGTCCCAGCTACACAGAAGGCTGAAGCAAGAGGATTGCTTGAGCCCAGGTGTTTGAGGTTGCTGTAAGCTATGACACTACAACACTCTACCCAGGGGGACAGAGTGAGACTATATCTCAAAAAAAAAAAAAAAGAGTTGAGGTTGCAGTGAGCTCTCATTGCACTCCAGCCTGGGGGACACAGAGAGACCATCTCTTAAAGAAGCAGCATATGAAATCATCTACGAGTTACATTGTAATAACAGCTGAGTGTGTAATATGTGTGGTACTTGTTCTGCCCTGATCGTGTCCAGACACTTCTCACATGTTACCCCATTTTATGTACAAGACAACCCCAGGAAGTACACACTATTTATTTTCATTTTACAGAGAAGAAAATTGAAGACCAGAGAGGTTATTAGGTTGGGGAGCCAGGATTCGAACCCTGATTGTGGGCTCATAACCACCTCAATAAATAGTATCTATCTGATGTTGCTACTCTTCAGATTTCTAGTGATGTCTAAACCTTTTACCCCTTTTCTGGTCGGGAGAGAGAGGAGGCTGAGGCCTTGGAACGGTCTAGAAGTCCTGAGCTCTTCTCACCTCCCCTGCTGCCCCTCAGAACCTCCAGGTCTCCTGCCTCAATGCTGAGCAGAACCGGCACCTCCAGGCTGCCCTGAGTCGCCTGCACCAGGTGGCACAGGTAACATCTCCTGCCATGGTCTGGCTCCACTGCCCCTGCTGCATATCCCTGGGCCCCTGACTGCAGCCTCTCTCCCCATCAGCATGCCCAGGCCCAGCATGTGAGGCTCCTGGTGGATGCTGAGTACACCTCGCTGAACCCGGCGCTCTCTCTGCTGGTGGCTACCCTGGCCTTGCGCTGGAATAGGCCTGGGGATGGAGGGCCCTGGGTGTGGAACACTTACCAGGCTTACCTGAAGGTGTGTGGTGTGCTCGGGGAGTGGGGGGTGTGGGCTGGAGTCCCAGTGCCCTAACCCACCCAGATTGGCCTGCAGAACACATATGAGCGGCTGCAGAGGGACGTTGAGGCTGCACGCAGGGCCGGCCTGACCTTTGGAGTGAAGTTGGTCCGAGGCGCGTATCTGGACAAGGAGAGAGCTGTGGCCCGGCTCCAAGGGACAGAAGATCCCACTCAGCCTGACTATGAGGCCACCAGTCGGAGGTAGGCCAGGGCCAGACAGAGCCTCTGTGCTAAGCTTTCCCAGGGCTGTCTAAGCTGTACACCAGCTCCCTGACCCAGCACTTCCCACCCTCCACACCTCTTCCTTTGTCCCCTACCCCCACATTTGTCCCCACTTGCAGCCTGAGGGACCCTGTTCAGGCCTGAGTCAGGTCTTGTTCCTCCTCAACGAACACTCCTTCCCTCTGCCACCTGGCACTCTTAATAAGCTCCAAATCCTCCAGTGGCCCACAGGCCCCAGTGATCCCACCCCGTCGTCACTTCTTGAACTTCCTCTCCACCTCTTCTGCTTTTCCTCTCAGTCGCTTCACTCCAGCCACACTAGCCTCCTCGAGGTTCCCTGGGGCCATTGCCCTTCCTTTTCCAGTTGCCTAGAACATTCTTTCTCCAGACAACCGCAGGGCCCAATCCCTCGCCTCCTCCTTAGGTTTTCACTCCTTGATGCCTCCTCAGGGGGCCACAGGGACTTGCCCAGTTTACAGGACAAGTGGTCAAACCATGGTTGGGAACTAAGTTGATATTCGAGACCTTCCAGGGCTCCTAGGCTTAAAACCAAAGGCTTAATAACTGGTACCAAGCCAAGCTCAGTGGCACATACCTGTAGTTGCAGCTCTTTGGGAGGCTGAGGTAGGAGGATCACTTGAACCTAGGAGTTCAAATCCAGCCTGTGCAATATAGCAAGATCCCATCTGTTTAAAAAAAAAAAAATTGGGTGGTACCTGTGGCTCAAAGGAGTAGGGCCTCGGCCCCGTATACCGGAGGTGGTGAGTTCAAACCTGGCCCTGGCCAAAAACTGCAAAAAATAAAAATAAAAAAAAAATAAAAATTAATAGTTTGTACCACTTTTCATATACTATAAAATTCACCATTTCAACATGTACGAGTCAGTGGAATTTAGTATATTCACAAGGCTGTGCAACCATCACCACCATCTAATTCTAGAATATTTGCAACATCCCAAAAAGAAACCTCGTACCCATTAGCAGTCATCTTCCATTCCTTCTCCCCTCTGCCCCTGGCAACCACTAATCTACTTTCTGTCTCTGTAGATTTGCCTTTTCTAGACAGTTCATGTAAATGAATTCATAACTACATGGCCTTGTGTATTTGGCTTCTCTCGAGTAATGTTTTAAGGATTCATCCATGTTGTGGTATGCATCAGTACCTCATTCCTTTTTATGGCTAAATAATACTCCATTATGTGGATATACCACCTTTTGTTTATCCATTCATGAGTTAATGGACACTGGGACTGTTTCCACTTATTGGTTAATGCTGCTATGAACATTCATGGTTTAATATTCTTTTTGTTTTTTTGTTGAGACAGAGGCTTATTATGTTGCCCTTGGTAGAGTGCTGTGATGTCACAGCTCACAGCAACCTCAACTCTTGAGCTTAAGCGATTCTCTTGCCTCAGCCTCCCAAGTAGCTGGGACTTACAGGCACCCGCATTTTTGTTGTTGTTGTTGCAGTTGTCATTGTTGTTTAGCTGGCCTGGGCTGGTTCCAACCCGCCAGCCTTGGTGCATGTGGCCAGCACCCTAACCACTGTGTTACGGGTGCTGAGCCATGGTTTAATGTTCTTGTGTTAACCTACATTTTCAATTCTCTTGGGTATAGATGTAGGAGTGGAATTTCTGTCATATGAAAACTCTAGTGTTTAACTTTTTGAGGAGGTTCTAGATGATTTTTCAAAGTGGCTGCATCATTTCATTACTTGCACCAACCATGTGCGAGTGTTTTAATCTCCCCACATCCTTTCCAACATGGTGCCATTCATATTTCAATATAGAATTTGAATACATAGTAAATTCACATGGTTCAAAAAATACAAATGTTGTGAAAATAAATATATATTTCATTTCCTTCTATCTCCCTATCTAGCCATGGAGTCTCCCTGTCCTTCACAGGGGACTATTTTTGTTAGTTTCTTAACATACATTGCCTGAGCTTCTTTATGTATGTACAGGAAGATTTGACAATATTTTATTATTTATTTTATTTTTTATGCAGAAGGCATCATGCCTGCACACTGCTCAAGTGTATATCTTTTTTTTTTTTTTTTTTTT